GTACAAACTATTTTCAACGACTGACTCTGGAAAGCTGGTACACTAACCTAGAACAAATGCCTCTTAACAGTTGTTAACAACTACCGGCGCCTTACAAACGACTTATCCACGACGGAAACGAAACTGACAAACGGACTCATAACAGACCGACTTAATTTGACTAACAATAGACGGACCAAAACCGACCAATTTGACTAACAACAGACGGATCGAAACCCACCAATGACTGATGACAAACTTTAATCGAGTCTTTCAGCCAATTCTATCATGGCTAAAATGACTGTTGTAAATAAGTTAGGGACTGGAGCTGGTTTGACCTGCGAGGTCTGAGTCGAGCTAGTCTCGTGATTGACACTTGAAAAACGTGGGCAGAAAAGGAATCGGAGAGAACGGAAAGGAGTCCAGCGTGGACATTGATCTATCTCTGTATTACGGAAAATATCTATCGGAACACGGAATTAACTCTTAGAACAACATTGTCATATCTCGGAATCTATCAAAGGATCAAAATAAAGAGTATGGATCGATACAACAATGACCAATCACGTTGAACGGACCAGACTTATAACATTATGGACGGACAAACACTATTCACCTGACTCTGAAAATGTTTTCTGCTCAGGTTGTGGAAACGTCAGTCACTAACAACAGCTCTTTTCACAACTACCCTCACCCGGACGATCACACTATACGAACGGCCGTCGATAAAACCAAAACATGGAACTTCCCGGAACATCGAATAATTATAACAATTACGAGAAAAATACGTAAAATTAAATTTTCTAAAATAAAATAAACAAAAATAAACTAGTATCATCTCCAAATATGAAAAGATACTTTTGGGAGTTGGGGAGTCGGTAGGGGAGTCGGTAAGGGAGGGGTAGGGAGCATTAGGTATTCATTCAAAAGACCACAATGAGTGCAGCAACAAGCAAGTTATCATTAATAAACTAGTAGTAATCAAAGATTAGAGCAGTGCGTTCACGTGCGCACTTCAAATGTTCGGTTGGCGGTCTACTTTGGCGTTCGAATGGTTCGATAGAAAACTGAGTTTGATCTAATGTCAGATAACGATGCGGATCTGCACGTGAAGTTGAACTAGCGATGAATAGATTATAGCCTGCTGTAAAAGTGTTTTTAATTAATTAAGTATTAATTTGTACCGGAAAAAACATTTTCCAGGAAAGGAATTTGAACTGTTGGCGACATTTAGAATTCAATTTCAGAACGCCAACACTTGTAACAAATATTTCAGCTGTGAGCTAAAACCTTCTGGAATGTATTTCTCATGTAATATTCCAATTTAGAAGTTTCTGGAAACTCCAGGTGCACTTGTATGAGAGTGAGAGTTTCGTCCGTAAGAGAACAATGAAAATCTTAATTTAGTGAGGCTTAGTGCTTCATGAGGCCGAGAGTTGTAATCCGAGAGGTCAAATGAACCAGTTTGTTATTATTACTGACAATCCTGAGATCTGTGTGGAAACAACCCTGCTCTGCATTGACACTCCTTACATCCTTCTTCCCTTCGGCAGCATTTTCTACCATTTGGGTAAACTAGTGTATGAGGTAATTGGACTCAAGTCCATGCACAGTTTTATTTGTAGAATAGTTTGATACATTGCTCTTTAGTCTTACACCACACTAGAATCACTCTACAGTAATATTTTCAGTTATCTGTGATCTTGTCCCTGTGGCCGGTAGGATCTTGAAAATACTACCAACCAGAAGGACAGCTTGTGTAGAAGGTAATTGGACTTAAGTCCATGCACAGTTTTATTTGTAGAATAGTTTGATACACTGCTCTTATTCCTTAAGTCATAAAGCAGGCTAGAGTATTGAGGAGTCACATTTATTTAAAGGTTATCAGACACTTGATTTCAATTAAATTGCATTTACTCCAAGTGAAACAGAGTGCCAGGCAGTGGGATACATTTCTGATATGTCCAGTGTGTTCAAGTTGTAGACATCAACATTCAATGAAATATGTTTGTGACTTTAATACTCTGTGTAAGGATAGAGGAATCTCTTCAGAAGGAATGTTAAACTTGAAGAGCTGGATACTGTTCCGTAGCATTCTAAGACTGTTTATGGAATAAACAAAAATTAATTTTCCTTCCATTGTCTTTTTTTGTGAATGGTGTTTACCTTTAAACAAAATAGGTTTCAGAAAATCCTTTATCTAACCAAAACGTACTGCTTAAAGGACACTGACCTGACATACTCACAAAGCCACTCTCATTGCAACATTTCTAGTCTACTTCCCTCCTGTAAATTAAGTTGTCCCGCAAAGGATAGGTCACTTCTAAAATGAGGCTTTCTAAATATCAGATCGAATTGTTTGCATATTTGTGAACCCATGAATAAAATTATGGTGAGG